AAACTCTGTGTTTAACAGAGGAAAATAAATCTAAGAGATTGCCTGGTACATCCATAATTAGCTTATTTCCAAACAAACTCTGTCAGCCAAGGAAACCTTTACACACATTTTTGGTTGTTTATCTCATTACCTATAATTTTTTCCAGCAAATTGAATTTTTAGTTCTTTCATTTGTAAGACAGCAGCTAAAATGTTGATATTAGTTATTTATCAACTATATATAGTCCAATGGAAGTCTATGCAAAGCTCTTGATTTGTTAATGTACTTAAGGAGTAGATGTTCTTTTGGCACAGAAGCCTAACCCAACAGACCCTGACAAATTACCTAAATGTCCTAACCAACTGGCCCAGTTTGAATAGACCCTAAATATATTGCAAATTTATGAAAATAGTTGTTATAACGGACAATATTAGCATACAGCGTCAGGGACCGGTTGTACCAGAAACTTTCCAAAGGATCCAAGGTCTGCACTGAATGTGTAACAAATGGTATAGAGTGATTGCAAATGCTTTCTTAGTTGTTTGCATAATACAAACAGTTTGCAAATTAAAAGCCTAACCTTATTAATAAGCTATAACAAGCAGTAGCATGTTCATTTTGCTTTTTAGTTTGCTCAGTTTCTAGGAAAGTGAGTCTGAAGCATCATTCATTTTATATTCTAATATGGGATTTGTTTTGTTACATTGGTAGATAAAATCCTTCAATTTGAATATACACTTTCATGAACTGATCACAGTGATGTAGGTAATGGTAATGAGGTAATGCTGGCATGCTGACATTGAAAAATCTTCAGTTTACTTTCAAAATAAAATAACACATTTCCAGTGAAATGAGTAAAACCTGTTTTTCTTTCCATTTCTCAAAATGATCAGGTGGAATATTAGAATCAGCCTGTTACCATTAACAGCAACTTGTTAGTGTGGTTTACTCTGACCTAATAAATGTCTATGGGATTATGCAAAATGTCTGGTAACCCTGTAGGGATTTATTTGCTTTTATTTTTATTTCTGTCCATTTCAACCCTTGATTGGTTTACGAAGAAAATTACAAAAATTAAAGTTAGCCTTGTCAAAAATATATATATATCTTCACCAAAATAACTTTGTCTTAAGAGAAAATAACTGCAGCTCATTGAAAATCATATTGTTTTCTTGCATTGAATTGATTTCAAATTGAAAATACTTTTTTCATCCCAAAGGGAAATTAAATGTTGCAGTAACTCATACGTTATTTTTTTTAAACAGGTGATGTAGGTGTTGATAGCTGTAGGCAGGAAGGATCTCTGTAGGGGTCTGTCTTGCATCAGATCTGGAGAAGCCTCTGACTGAAGACACTCTGTTGTTTAAAAATCTTCTGAAGAGGATGCTCACCGTTGTCCATAATTCTCTTCACTTTAAGAAGAATTCTTCTTTGTGAAATGATTTCCAGGAGTTCTCAAAACAGAACTGGCCTTAAAAGTAATTAGCTCTGATACTGTTAGCCCAGCAGAGGGTGGAAGAAGAGATCACACTCTCTATTCGTATCAATTTAAAAAATTAGAATCGGGACAACCATAGAATGCTCATATTAATGTTAACAAGGTAAATTCCACACTATTTTTGATTTTGTGGAAAATGTCTGTTGTAATTGTTATACTGAAAG